TAAAAAAAAAAAATAAACAGAAAAAATTATAGAACAATAAAGACAACAATCAATACTACAATAATACCTAGAATTATTAAAATTAAGATTATGGCTATCAATATCATTAATATACTCTGTATAGGTTATAAAATAATATTTTAGTACAAAAAAGTTTAATTAATTAATAATTAAGTTACTAATAAATTCTTACCCTTTTGTGTTTTTGGCTTATGTTTTTGGGGGTTTCACTTACTGGTATGTCTTGCGTCATTTCGAAAAATCTTGTAGTGTGGGCTACATCCTCTTTTTCTATTACCAGTGCCTGAATATCTCTAAACATTTCGTTTAATTCCTGTTGGAATATTATATTTGATAATGTTATATGAGATTGTATACCGAAAAAGGGAACTCGCAAACAAATTGAAACATACGAATAGGATTTGATAATCTTCAAAGTTACATTATACCAAAAGAGATCAGAAATTATTGATTTTGGATGTATATGTAGAGTTAATGTTGAAATTTAAATATAAACATCCAACGAGATTGTAACCTTGAAATTCTTCAAATCCTACCCGTTTAGTCAAATTAATATAAAAGTTTGAAGTTTCTGAATTCGTACATTTATTGACTTTTCAATCCGTCGGACATCGTGTTGGCGGTCTTGAATTTCTGTAAGAATAGTACGCGACTGGTTGGACTGAGCTGATGATTGTAACTGATTTAAATTTAAAAACATTTTAAATGAATTTAGCATTCAAAGACTATTCCAGTTAACTGTAATAAAATACCTTGTTTATGTCATTGTCTATTAGATTATCGATCTCTTCTTGTGTGGCATCGGGGTTCACTACAAAAAAGATAAAATAAAATAAAATAAAATAAAACAATAAATAAGATTATAAATAAGATTATCCCCGAATATCAATAAACAGAATTGGGACAGGTACCTACCAATATGATATTGCTCTATAATTTTTTCTCTATACTTTTTAGCATTTTCCACTTGCATATTACGATAACTAGTCATTGTATCCATAAATACTTTTGCTAAGGTCGCATGCTTCGTATTAATTAGAATGAATGTCAGAAAAATTATTGTGAAAATGAAAAAATATAATGGGTTTGTATAAACATAGAGTACCTGCGTTGATCTCATTTGTGTTTGATCTTGTTCAGCGAGTGATTTGTTACTTTGCTCCATAACTTATAACATTTGAGTAGAATTATAATTATTATTATAAGTTCAAATTCTTCATCGAAAAAAAAGCATATATCTTCACACCTGTCAATTTGTGACTAATTTGGCCGCTTATTCGACTTGTCTCTGAAATTAATAAATCAATCTGTCGGGACATTCCTAAAAAATAATTTTTTAAATAAAATAAACTGATTAAAAGATAAATTCAAAATTATTCATGAATTGAACAATAAATTAGGAACGGTGCTCAACGAGAACTCTCATCTTCTGTTACTGTGATCAGGGTTCTTTTATATAAATCTCTAAGTGCTTTCATATTGTCATTTATCTCACGAGTCATCTCTTTTATGGATTTTACCTATATAAACAGAAATTCATAATATTAATTATTTAATAAATGAAATTTAAATTCAATTAGATTACAAAAAAAGCCAAAAAAAAAAACGAAGACATTTCATATTTATTTCAAAGGTTAGGTAATTTGTTTTATAGCTTAGGTTTAAAGGTTTGTACTTTTAGCATTCAATACAAATAATCAATTTTATTATTATGAAAAATTATCAAATTTAATTAGTAAAATAAAATTGCTAAACAGAAAAATAATTATTTTATTACTATTCACAATATTTTGCTATTTGTAATTGAGCAATATATATGTTTATTTATAATTTACAACATTTGTAATTTCGCGATCACATGAAATTAGTTACAATATCTCAAAAATCTGTAGTAATTTATCTATGAAATATATGAAATAGCTCTTTCGTTCTAATAAAACAAAGATTCCTCAAAATTTATTGAATGTTAGACATGTGATCGCGAATTTTTCTGTCACCTATTTATTCATTAAATTTTTCTCATGTTTAAAATGCAAAGCTTTTAAAAACGAGATAATCAACAATTGATACCAGTAGATCATTCTAAATTAAGAACGTCATTCTGACTAAATAAAGAAATTATTCCCTTTTTAGGAATGTGATCCGTAACACAATTGGTTATAAAATGATTGCGATAATGACGGATACGCGGAATCACGGAGAAATTCAAACGGTTCCGTCTCTCTTTCAACTTATCAACTTGGCATTCTTGGAAGTTTAATGTGTTAGTAATAATAATTTACATTCAAAGTCATATAATTGTATATTTCATATCTCTTATTTTGCTATTCATTTAAGGACCTAAAAGACCTTCATCAAATATGTTAAGATCTTTAAAAAAATTTAATAAAAAGGAAAAAGACAATTTATGCCTTTATCCTGGTTGCAAAAACAAAGTTAAAAGTGGCAGAAATAGGATCGACTATAATTATTGCAGCATTGCCTGCCAAAATGCAAGTTTTCAAAATGACGATACAGAGTTTTTGAACGAAGAGTATGAAATTGTACCGGAGAGTTATAATGTGGATACAACAGAAACGCAGAAATGGTCACAGCAACCACATACTAATTCTGTGATATCTGAATCCACTTCGCAACCTTCTCAAAGTTCTAGTGATGCTGACCAATGGTCAAGAAACCCATTTAGACTATTGCAACAATCTTCTTATTCTCGCCCGTCTCAACAAGGGTATACATCGACAAATAATTATTATACGTCCTCGAAGCAACCTGAGTCAAATTTTTCGATTTGGTCAAACTCTGCCGTTGAACAAGATGACTTAACATTTTCACCATTTGCACAAACTTCAAACGGTTCTGAAGAAAAGACGGTATTTTGTTCAAATTGTACATACTATATTCGACCGAACAGAACAACATGCGAAATATGCGGTACCAGCTGCAAGAAGGAAGAACCTGTGCAGAATCAACAGTTTAACCATTGGGTTGAAGAGGAAGAAGATGATTTGTTTGTAGATCTTCCTATTAATTATGTTCGTAACAATCCTCCAGTTCAGAAAACGCGTCAATTCCATTCATTTTCACAGCAATCAATGGTTCGGCCGACATATCAAATATCACCACCACCAAATCAACAACAACACCACCACCAACCACAACAACAACAACCACAACAGCAGCAGCAGCAACAGCAGCAGCAGCAACAACAACAGCAACAACAACAACAACAACAACAGCAACTACAACAGGATGATAAGAACAATATAATATGTCAGAGTTGCATGTTTTCAAATCATCCATTGTTGAATTATTGTGAAATATGCGGATCCCAGTTAATTACGGTTATTGATGATGATGATGATGATATAAATAATTCTATGCTTGCTTTCACTAATAGCGCGTATAATGAGGATGCGGCGATTCGATGCTCTGCTTGTTCTTATCTTAATAATCCCATTTATTCTCAATGTGAAATGTGTTATTCGCCTATTGGAGATTTAGAATTTTTAAATGTACCTGATACGAATATGCGACAGTGTCCTGTATGTACATATTATAACCAACAAACAATGATAGATTGTGAAATGTGTGGTAATTATTTACAAGAGTTTGAAGTAAGATTGAATACAAGAATGACAGCCTTGGAGCCAACAAGTGCTCTATATATTGAGATATATGGAAGATTTGCGGCAACTATGCCAAATGCTCGAGTTCTAGCCATTATTCGTATGCAAATGCCGACGAGGCTTGTTGAAGCTCACGAAAAATATAAGAACAACATGGCCCGACGATCTCCTCAACGTACCGCGGCTAGTGTAACCTTCAAAATGTTTCATGGAACTAAATGTCTTTGTAATCCAGCTCGTTATATTGGTACTGATCAATGGACTTATTGTCCTACTAATAGTAGATGTGGAGTATGGTAAAATAACAATAATAATAATTTAATTATTTTGTAATTTTGCTTGCCCTTTTTTTTTATTTTAACATTTATTTCAATTGATAACATTAAAATCTAAATAGTGGAATTGCACAGAATGGAAATTCTTCTACGTTTGGAAAATGTGGTGGAGGGCGTTAGTACATCTTTAAATCAAATATTTATTCGGCTATTTTTATATATTAAAATTAATTGTAATTTTTATTCGTTTTTATTATAATTGAAGGAATGTGGTTTGCCCAAAATTCCAATATTTCGTTCGGCTATTGTAGCAACACACAGATTAAGACTATGTATACTGTTGATGTCGTTTCTATAGCGCCACCGAATTCATCAATTATCATTGTTGATAAAAATGAAGCAAGTATAATAATTTATTAATTTTTTTTACTTTAAAAAGATTTTTTATATTTATACGTATATGTTTTATAGGCTACCCTAGTTGAATCTTTGATATTATTTCAAATTTAATCTTCTTTATATTATACAATATATGCCAAACATTCAGTACATATTAATGATTTGGTTACCAATTTTTGATTTTTGACCATATATTGATGGTGTTGTTATCATAACTTAGGCTAGCTTCTATTATTCAATTTTTTACCATATGAAAATTGTTTTATTGGACATTGATCAGGCCGTTAATAATGTTATAAATAAACAGCTCATAGTTCGTGATATATCTATATTAACAGTTATGAAGTAATTTGTACGCGACAAATTCGTGTAAGATTTTTATAAACCTGATTAAGATTAGATTAAAATTTAAATTTAAGGCAAGTTATTATTTATTGTCAAGAAATTTCCCCTTTTTTTTTAGACCACTATTTTTAGAAGTCTTTGCGAATAAAGTTACATCAGGTGTAATGTGATACAAACTCTGGTTAAAATTCCGAAAATTTCCGAGAATACTAAGTCTAGCAAAATTATTCTTGCAAAAGTTTAATACATATAATCTAGCTCTAAATAAACACTTATTATTATACTATTTAAATAGGAGTGTAACTTATTTAAATTATAAATCCTTAGACTTTGTATATTTATATTTAATTTTTCCTAAACGTATTTTTCGATTGTTGTTCAGTAAGTACGGTAAAATCGGAGTCATATTATACCATTTAAATGATAATGCAACTTTAGATTGGTTTATGCAAATGTGATGTATAATATGCCAATTTTCACGAAGCATAATTTCCCGTGAAATTGCATAGTAATAACTGGTATATACGCATGCAAAAAAAAAAAAAAAAAAAAAACTTATTTATATTTAAAAAAAAAAAATAAACAGAAAAAATTATAGAACAATAAAGACAACAATCAATACTACAATAATACCTAGAATTAT